GATACTTAGTGGTAGGAATGAGTACTTAATTGAGAAGTAAATCGACCTTATAATTACGCTTACGATAGTATTTAACTTTATCGCTCAGCGCGATCGAGACGACGAGGATCTTAATCTGGCCCTTTTAGACATCGTAAATAGCACAGATATTGACGTTCCTAGGCCTCCGCGCTAGTCTATCTAGGTAGGTAGACGAGTTCGCAAAGAGATGGATGAAGTAAGAGATTGGATCGCAGAGAGGATGTGGCTAGATTATTAATAGTATTGGATAGGTAGATGAAGCGTATGAAATTCGACATGTTACTACTACCTAGTCGATCGACCTCAGTCCGTCAGGTTACGAATCTCGTCCATTAACTAAGCCTCCTGTAACCTAGGCTATAATTCAACGAACATCTTAGCGTAAGCGCTGACTACCTTGATCGCCTTTATCATCTCTATCTCAGTCAATTTGTCCAGGTAGACGTCTTAAAGCGATCGAATCGCTATCTGTTTGACGGTCTTCTCTTACCGCTTAGCGTTTAGGCGTCTCGATCTCTCATCTTTCCTCTCTTAAGACCTTAGTTTTTGTTCCTCTATAATCGAGTCTACGAGGACTCTTATCGTTCGATTAAATTTAGCTGATCCTACCTTCTTCTTTTACCTTACCGGAGTGACGTCCTAGTCTATGGCGATCTTAAGTTTATCTGGATCTTCAGATTTACGCTTTCGATCGATCGCTGGAATGGCTAAACCACCTTCAATCGACGCTAGAAAACCCTCCTCCTCACTCTCACGTTGAGACTCAGTTAAATCGATCGAATCCTTAAGCGCTCTATATTGATCTCGCGTAAGTCTCCCTATCGCTATTAACCTAGAAAAGATCTCCTTAAGGGCTTATTTATGCGGCATCGCATACGTCTTAAACCACACATAGTCCTTAAGAGGCCCTTCAGTAAGCGATTACTAGTTTTCCTCCTCCGTAGAGAACTACCTAGTGGATTTATCGAACGAATAGCCTGTCTTTTCATATAACTTTAAGAATAGCTCTCATTTAGCCTTCTAACTAGCCCTCTTCGAGTTTAATCGGTCTATATTTACCTATGGAAATCTAACCTTCATTACGCTAATAACGTCTCTATAGAAATCTGCCTTGAATCGCTTACCTATACGGCCTTCCTTTTTGCCTTTTTTAAGTAGTTCTAGATATAGTAACTCCTCCTCGCTCGACTATTTCTCGCCTAGTATCTTACTCTGCTTCCTTTGCAAATTACTAGCTATCTAGAGGATAGCAAAAGGCGAGATATTCAATAGGAAAAGGGGGTGAATATCACATAGATTACAGCGATTGCATAACTACCTAGTGGGGGCTAAAAGCGCATGTAAACGTAGTAATTCGTCGCGTTTATACGCTTATGAAATTGTGGATATACAAGAGGCGCTATAACCTGTGGCGTTCGATGGCTTTTACACTAAAAATTTGGTGGATTTGACATAATCAAAAGCGCCTGTGTAGCTAAGGACCTGTTCTGGCATAAGCGCTTTTGGTCAGATTGGGGGCCAAAAGCGCTCAAAAGCGCTCAGCCAAGCAGGCCCTTATATAGGATAACGTCCCTATATATAACGCTAAAAAGGTTAAGTAGTAGCTAGATATTTATGGAATAGATATTACGGATTAATCGTCATATTTACTAGATTTAAACCCTATTAAGAACCTCTGGTTTGAGCTTAAATGCCTCGTTAACGTAATCGATCTAGAGCTTTAGTGTATAATAGGAGAGTCGTAAGAGGTCCTCGATCGCTTTATAAGAGCTATCGCTAGGGCCTGGGCTAGTCTAGATAAGAAAAAGATTAAGAATACTATTAAGTCTATAGACGAGAGAGTTAACGCAGTTATTGAGGCTAAGGGCTAGTATACGCGGTTTTAATCTAGAAGATGCGATTTCCTGAAAGTGCTTCGCTTAAGCTATCTATTGATCCTCATTATACTATTCTACCATAGTAAATATATGGAAAAAACCTATTATGTGTACAGGGGGGTAGTATTCAGGAGGCGTGCTAAGAGACTAGTGTCCGGTGACTTTTGCGGACCTACTGTAGCTTTGTCACAACGGAAGCAGCCTTGCGCCCAGAAGGCTTCTTGCAGCAAAAGGACGAAACACGACGGTCGGAGCAATTTCAGGAAGACTCGACGTAACGCATTATAGAGCACTAATGTGAGGGTTTAGAAAGAGTTCCGCAACTAGCTAGCCAGCCTAGTAATAAGGAGGACAAATCTGAGGAGAGAGAAGGAAGGAATGGCTGTCCTTCCTTTCTCCTTATATCCTCTAACGCGCTGTAAGGAGGTAACTAGTGTCCTTACCTCCTTACTCCTTCCTTACGTACTTATTCCAGCTCCTTACCTTCCCTTACGTACGGTGTCTCAGCTATTAGGATTCTATATCCCTTACACCGTATATGTCTTAACTAATCAGGAGGCAGCATTTCGCCTGTACATTATACAGGCGAACACACCTAATCAGAAGGTATAGTTTCCTAGCGTTAGTCTTGACGCTGGTTCGCCAGAACCGAGCCTTCTCCTGGGTTCAACCCATCACAGTTATATTTAGAAGACGACAGCTAGGCTATATACCTTTAGCTAGCTTTAAGTAAACTATGTTGGATTCGCGTAGTGGGGTGTGTTTTTCATCAAAGTATCTAGCTATCTAAGCCTTAGCTAATTTGATCGTGTCCACGGCTTCTTTTCTTATCTGTCTGCGATCTTGTAGGAAACTCTCCGCGCCTTGGTCGGTTGCAGAGGAAGAAGTGGGGTCGATATCGGAACGGGGTAGAACACCGTATAGGAGAGCGAAGGGAGTCTACTTCGTGGTGGCATTCACAGAAGTGTTCAAGGCGTATTGGATGTCGGGAAGCAGCTCATCCCAGTCAGTGGTGGCTTTGTCATTTGCTCAATCTGCAATCATGCAGCGAAGAGCAACTTCCACCGTCTGATTGGTGCGCTCACTCTGACCATCTGCTGCCGGGTGGTAGGCTGCGGAAAAGGCTAGTCGAGTGCCAGAGCGTTTGAAGAGGGCCTTCAAAAACGCTGATGTGATTTTGGAATCTCGGTCGCTGATAATCTGTGCAGGTAGGCCGTAATGAGGGAAACAGTAGTCATAGTAAGCAATGACCCATTCGAAAGCATCCCATGTGGTTTTGCATGGAATGAGAGTGACTCATTTAGTGAACTTGTCAGTCACAGTCAAAATGGCGTCAAAACCGTTGGCGGCAACAGGTAAGGAGACGATGAAATCTGTGGTCTGAACCACAAATGGATTTCCAGGAGTTTCGAACAGTTGCAGTTCATCGAAGGGAGGCTTGTTGCTTGATTTTGACACTGCGCAGACAGGGCACGACCTGATGTAATCTGAGACAGTTTCCTTGAGCCCAGGGATGTAGAAGTTCATGCGTAGGCGATCAATGACACGGGAAAGCCCTTGGTGGGCATGCTCATTATGGGCTTGCTTCAAGAGTGTCGGGACAACTTTAGCGGGAATGCAGAGACGTTCGTGACCAAATTGTCTGCTTTCATACATGAGGAGGCTTGGATCGATTCTGAAACTCTCCCGAGTCGTCACTGGGCCATCTGGTTACACAGCGGTTTCCTTCATCCCTGCGGCGAATGTCGGCGTAGATGGAACCCAGCCTCTTGTCTCGCGGCAGGTGCCTGAGAATGGCTTGCCGGAGCTTAGGATCGATTTGAAACAAATCCATCTTCCAGGTAGGTTCGGAGGAGATGGGACTCGACTCCGGCGCGGGCGCAGGCGCAGGCGCAGGTGCGGTCTTGAAACATCTATTCGGGCTCGTCTCATTTCGATCCGCAAACATGCTCAAAGAGAACTCATGCATGACGCTCAGCGTGATGACAGGAAAATCGACTTTAGGCAGACGCGAAAGCGAGTCTGCATTTCTGTGGCATCTGTGCTCTTTGCCAGGCTTATGAAAGATTTCCATGCGTCCACGAAACTGCGACAGGACGATTCGTCAGGCTTTCAGGCGATTAGAACGACTACCTTTAAGAGGTCCTTCGTCCTTAAATCCTTGAACCAAAGCTTGATGGTCAGAGATAACGGTGAAGTTGCCGTAGTCGACATACTGAGAAAGCTTCTGCAGAGCCCAGATCAAAGCTGCGGTCTCTAGTTCAGTGGGCCACTAGTTCTTTTCGACTGGCGATAGGGCTCGGGACATGAATAAGATGGGCAGTTTGTTGTAAGACAACAAGCGAATGGTTGTGTCCAGATCCTTCGTTTTTTATGGTCTTTTGTCTGCTTTTCTGATGTGGTTTTTCTGTGTTTTTGAGGACAAAGGAAATAAAGGTGTCAAGGAGGAGGATTCGACGAGTAGGCAGGATAAGGGTAATTGGGCAGGTGAAGGATGCCCGGGCACAGTGCCACGGAAGACCTTCGAGGATCGCTCCAATCTTGCAGTAAGGTTTCGGCGGAGAAAGCGTTGCTACCAGTTTGTTGTAAGATATCAAGCGAATGAGTCTCACACTAGCCCACAACTAGGACAAGGAGGTGTTGCCGCAATGGCAGGTTGGTTGTTTGATGTTTTCTGTCTATTTGAGGAGTAAGAACAAGAGAGAGCCTGCGACTCGACTAGAATAAAAGAAAGTGGCAGACAGGCTAGTCCTGATCTGGGTTAGCGCCACACGTGACAACCGGCCCATGGACGTACAAGATTAGACAGCAAGTTTATCCTGAGCCTCCACTTCATGTCGCCCACTCGATTGACATGGCCAGCGCTGACAGCTTGGGAGAACAAATATGCGAGGCGGAGACGGTTCGTTTCTCGCGAATCGCAAGTGAGCTGCAGTGGATGGACAAGTCTGCCTGGCTCGGCAAGTCTGCCTGGACGGACAAACCTGCAGCTAGTCGTCGGTGGATGGACGAGGCTGAGCGCGAGCCAGGATGGCGTCCGCTGGGGTGGCCAGTGTATAAAAGCGCGGCTCCCTCGCACCCCGTCTGTCAACCGTCCGCCTCATGACTCACCATCAGCAAGGCCACGTCTTTCAACACGATCCGCCCGGGAGCATCACATCTGCCGACACCACGATGAGCTCGGCCCCTGAGCATAGAAAAGCTGCCGCCAGCGCAGACCTTGATCCGAAATTCGACGCTATGGACATAACTGACGATGCAGACGGCCCGGAGAAGGACGTAAGCGACGTGAAAACAGATCCTCGCGACACGACCGAGCTGGCCGACAAGGAGAAGACGCTACGGAGGGTTACCACCTTCTTGGCCATCTTCTTGCAACTCCTTTTCCTGGCCGTCAGCCTCCCTCAGCTCTTCTACCCACCAGGGCAGAGCTTGTTATCGGCGTCGGTAGGGATTATGCATCATGGCGGCCGGTGCCTTCGTCTTTATGGCCCTTCTTACCATCATCCCATGCGTGCGCCCTGCGCCCAACTTCCATCTTGCCATGTGGGGAATGGCAGCGCTGTGCGTAGTCAACGCCTTGGTCTGGCACATGTTGGACCAGCACATCCAGGCCCGTGGCAAGTCGAAGCAAGACGGCGGAGCAAGCATCTCCGGCCATATCAGAGCAGGCATCTCAGGAGGGCATCTCGGGCCCCATTAAGATGGAGGCATCTCGCGCTTGGGCATCTCGAGTCAGGCAGATAGCGGCCAGACATGATGCAGCACTGTTACAGCAACCGTTATCTTGCTCGGACCTCGTGAGATGGCGAGTTGTGGAAACGAGGGAGTCTCGGTTCTGGCATGGACGGTAACAATGGCAGCAGCCGCTAACCGCAAGTGGAAGGACCGTCTCTGGATGGTCAGCCTGCAGTGGAGGGACCGTCTGTGGATGGTTTGGTCTACTAGGTGATGGTAGTGCTGACGCGGAACGAGCCCTGCTAGGCTCGCGCGAGCCACTGACCAGAACATGGCCTGCTAGGCCGCTCGGCAGATTTGCCAGCCGAGCTGGTACAAAGGTACACCGCTCCCTGCACCCTCTGACCATCTGCTCACAGCCACCAAACGTCACGTCTTCGACCACGCCTTGGACCACACTGCTGAAACGTTACATCCTGTAAACACAACACGATGAGCTTCACTCCTGTGGCTCTCAAGGCCATGGAGGCCGATTTCAAGGCAGACGCTGCTCTGAGAAGGACCAATACACAAACCACGGATGGTAGCGACGAGCTGGAAGATGTCCCTGCCAAGGCTGCCGAGGCCGGTGTCGACGATGCAGACCATCCGACAGATGCCAGCAAGGCAAGTAACGTGAAAGACGCAGACGCCGTACGCGAGGCGGAAAGAAAAGAATCCCGCAAGAAAGCCGAGAAGAAGCTGAGGCTGTTTTGCTTCTTGGTGGCGGCCGTCCTCCAACTTAGTCTCCTGGCGGGCGGCGCCTACAACCCTACCCTCCCGTGAGAGGAAAGCTTGTTACCGGTGGTGGTAGGGCTGTGCCTCATGGCGACCGCTGTCTTTCTCATCCCGACCGCCATCATGAGCATACCATGCCTACACATCCGGCCACTGTACCCCATTACCACGCTCATGTTCGCAGCGCTATTTGGAATCAACGCCTTGATCTGGCTTGTTGTAGACAGGCTCGTCCTAGGCGGTACCGGCTTGTCGATGCCAGGCAACTCTACCAGCGCAGGCATCTCCGCGCATCCCAAAGGAGCAGGCGGCCCAGGAGGGTATGTCGGCTTGTATTGATCAGGATGTCGCGGTGAATGGAGGATGTCGTGCGTGGCTGCTGCAGGCACGCACTGGGCGGGAGATCTCGGTGGATGGGCATCGTGGTGCGTGTCATCTGCAGGAGCAGCAGTCTGTTGACCTTTTTGCAGCAGGAGCAGATGCCATCTATCGATATTTTATGCAGCAGCAGTAACAGCCAGTTGACATTTTTTACAGCAAGATGCCATTTGTCCATGTCTTTTTACCTGTAGCTGGAGCAACCACTATATCTTGATGCTTACAACAAAACCAGTAAATATTTTTATATACGAATAGGAACTGCAGATGTAATTTTAATATGAGTATTCTTATACGCAGAAGCAGACAGAGTTGCGTCGACATTTTTATTCAGCAACAGCAGATGCAGCTACAAGGGGATCATGCACAGTAAGAACGGCAGATGTAGTCACGACCTCTTTATTGCACATGGCGACCTTTATTGCTGCAGTGACAACCGAACCGTCTCCAGCATCGACCGTAACACCGAATGGCAGCCGGCAATGGGGCCAACTCAACACTCTGGCACCTCGACTCTTATTGACACTCCACGCAGCCACAGCTGCTCCCAGCTCACCATCCGAACGCCTCTGGCACCGACAGACCACGAGCAACCGATCCACAGCCACCGACCTGCTTCTCCCATCTCGACACATCCGTCGACATCTGCTTCCGCAGCAGACTCCATCCACCTCAGACGTCTGCTTAGACCACAAAGGAGACTAGCATAGCACGAGGAGAGGACATAAGACAAGACTGCATATCACAAAACTGGCCGCAGGACAAGGAGATGGCCGGAGATCGAGGAGAACCACATACCGGGCTTGATGTTAGGCTGGACAAGTGAGCTCTGCGGAAGACCAGGTCGGCAATGGGGGCGGATGGAGGTGACTAAACGACAGCGTCTCGCGTGGCGTCGAGATTGGTCAGCGTCTGCTCATGCTGTCGAGATCGGCTGTCCACAAGAGCCCTGGCTGCCAGAAATGATGGTTCTGTGGCCTCGTCCTCATCTGGGCATTGTCGGCTCACGCCGTCGTGGACCGTGTTGCCCGTGCTGATCCGTCGAGTGCTCATACTGTGGGAGTCGCTGAGAACGGCGTCCTTTTGCTGTCAGTAATGCTCACTTGGTGCTCACGCCGTGGACTTGGTACTCATCCGAGTTGCTCATTGACGCCGAGTGCTCGGCTCATGCGGCTCTGCGTCGTAGCATTGTAGAGTTAGCTGATAGATGATTCAAGCTCAGGCTGCTGCCTGACATGCTCTCAAGCTCTTGCTTGTATCGTGGTTCTTTGTGCCGTCAGTCAGCATTGTGCTGCCAGTAAGCATTTGCTTTGGGATGTCCACGCTGGCAACTGGCTCCCTGGTTTCAACTCCATGGCTCATGCCACTGCGACTTACTCTCGGATTCAAGCTCTTACTTATCGTATTTCCCTATGCCGTCAGTCAGCTTTGTGCTTTGAGAATGTCGACGCTGGTGACTTACCCGACATGGTTCAAGCTCCATGGCTCATGCCACTGCGACTTGCTCTTGTTTATATCGTAGTTCCTTGCGCCGTCAGTAGGCATTTGCTTTGGGAATGTCCATGCTGGCAACTTACCGGCATGATTTAAGCTCTCCGTGGCTCGCCATCGTGGTTCCTTATGCCATCAGTGCAATGCACTTTGGGGTGTCCGCTGGCGACTTACCCCGTATCGTTTAGCTCTCCGTGGCTCATGCCATCGTGGTTCCTATGCCATCAGTGCATTGTACTCGAATATCCGCTGGTGATTCTACCTGGTTCAAGCTCCATGGCTCAGGCACTGACTCGCTGGCTCTTGGTGTCGTGTCGTGGCTCCTTATGCTGTCAGTGCATTGTACTTGAGAATGTCGATGCTGCAACTCACTCCCTGGTTCAAGCCCCATGGCTCATGCACTGACCTGCTCTCGAATCCGGGCTCTCCGCGCTATATCGTGGTCCTTATGCCGTCAGTAAGCTTGCACTTTGGCCATGCTGGCCGGTGCCGTCGGCAAGCTCGGTACTCACCTGGACTCGGTACTCACCGTCGAGACTTCTGCTTCCTCGGTCGGTGCTCACGCTTCGTGGACTTACTGCGTGCTCATGCCTCTTGGTGAGTCTTGGCGCTCCACCTTCATCTCCAGCAAGTGCTCCACGCCCTGGACTCGTGCTCACCTGTGCCTCTTTGGACGCTTCACTCGGCCGCCATGGGACGCCCTTCTGGGTCCTGGCTCGTGGTCTGAGGTTGTCTCCTCGAGGACGACTCGGCCCTTATGAGTTCCTCGGTCAACGCCTGGAGCATGGTGCGGATGGACATGATCGGAGCTTGTGCCCTCACTGCGAGCCTCACTTTCGTGGCCATCGCTGGTCAGTGAGGCGAGCCTCCTTCTACCTTCTTTGGCCATTCAGCGGCCGCCATGTCAATGGCGCTGCATGTTCGTCGTGGGGGAGCGTCGCATGTCGTGGGGCGTCCTGAGCCCAACGTGCTTTGGGGTCGCACTCGGTACGGAGCATCGACCCAATGTGCATTTGTGCTCTCATGGATCTCGCGGATGGTCGGGGAACGTCAGGCTCAGCTCATTGGTCGCCTTGTCGAATGGTCATGGGCTCTGGAGCACTCAGACGTGCTCTGCTGGCATTCGCCAAATCGGTGAGCTCTGGACCATGACGATGGTCTGGCTGAGCATTCCGAGTCGAAGCATTCCGGATTCCGAGTGAGCTCTGAGGCCAGAAGCATCACGAATTTCCAGAAGCCCAGAGTCCAGAAGCATTACTGAGTTTCCGGATACTGTGAGCGGTAGAAGCATTACCGAGTTTCCGGGTGAGCCGAGTCCAGGACCATTACCGAATTCTAGAAGCATTCACAGAATCTCCAAGTCTAAGCTTTGAGCTGCCAAACACTCGCGGAATCCAGAACCCTTCACCGAGCTCTGCTCGTCACCCACGCTCGCTGCCTTGCCTGGCTGCCTTGCGCTGGCTCGTCATCCACGTGCCGTGCAAAGCGCCTTGGGCAGCAGCGGTGAACAGGCTGCAAAGTTGTAGAGCCGTTGTGAGTGGCACCTGCCAGGACGCACGCAAGTGCGGGTTGTCTTGGGGTAATTCGGAGGCAGATGTCAAGAATCCGGTGGCGCAGGGGAAGGAAAGGGCAAGAAAGGGGAAGGAATTCGAAGGTGCAAGGATTTGAAGGCCAGGAATTTGTCAGTTCTGCCTGGGCATCATATGCAGTAATCTGCTGGACATGTTCACCGAGATGGGCCTCAGTGTCAGCTGTATGGAGTTTGGCTGATCGTCCAGACTGGTGCTTCGAGAGATGCCAGACACCAAATCGTAAAGCACCCCATCACAGCCACGAGATGCATGTCAAATCTGCCTGGGCACGACATGGCCTGCAGCCTCACTTTGTCGGTGTCGCATCCGTCGATGACGTGGCTTCCCTCTCATGGCGCTGAGCCAGTCCCGGACGTGGCTGTGGCATTACGGCGAAGGCCACGAGACGAACGAGGCGTCACCGAGAATCACGGAAGCCAGAGCGGTGCTGAAGGCGGCATGGAACAAGACCAAAGCGTCACCGAGCCGTGGCATGAGCGACGGCGTCCTGGATAAGGCCAAAGGGGTACCGAGCCACGACACCGAACAAGGCGACGAGTTGCTGTGGCAACATCACCAATTACCAAAGGCATTGCCGAAACCGTCACCGACTCAGCCGTCACCGAAAGGTCACGGGCAAGGACACAATGCCAGAAACGGGGCCACCGAGTGGCGGATCGAAAGATCACGATTCGAGGACCGACCAAGCATGAGGCACAGGCAAGCCTTTGCGGCCGAGACACGAGCAATTGCAAAGCGGTCACCGAAAGGTATCAACAGAGCCACCGAACAAGCGTCACTCTTTGCGGACACTCAGGAACGGAGCAAGGCACACCGGACAAAGCAGTCACGGACAAGGCGTGAGTGCTTTGGGCCACCCCTGAGCAGCAACTGCGCAACAAGACATCACTGACAGGATCAACAGCTCCTGAGAGGACAGCACCGGAGATGCGATTCGGAAGGGAAGAAGCTCCGGAAGAGCACGAGAAGGCAAGAAGTGACAGCACAAGGAGTCAGCACCGAACTGCAGCACTAATCGGCCGGGACCGAAGATAGAAAGCACCAGATGGGCGACAGCACAAGGACAGGAAAAGCACCGAGTTGGGTCAGCAGCGAAAATGCAGATGGAAAGCAAGAATCCAAGGCACTGATGGAGTGACAGCACAAGAATGGAACGCACCGAGAACACAAGGCACCGAAGCGCGACAGCACAAGCTGCAGGCCCCACGGCCCCGAAAATGCCCGGGCATGCGAGACACCACTGCGGCCACCGAAAGCCGAAGTACGCTGCAGCAAGCATAACCACGATGATGCCGAGATGGCAAGTTACATAACAAGCACAACCACGGTGCCACTGGTGCGACCCCAGGGACCAGCCAAGACCAAAGGATCAGACATAGGGCAGGAGCAGCGATGGCGAGGCAGCACGAGCGATATGCTCGCCTGGCAGGGTGAACGGGCAACTTGGCAATTATCAGATGCACACGAAAACGATAAGACAAATAACACCATAATAAGAAGAACACGATAATGAGCACGATAAAAGACTGAAATGTAATCATGTGCCATAGTGCATGCGAGCCAGACAACGACGGATCTGCAGAGGCACACCACGAGAGGCGGCAATGGGCACGAAACGAAGCACTTGCTCAAAAAACTACATCTCGTACCAGGACGAACTCGCTCACGGCAGACGTTGCAACGACAGGCGCAATGTTACGCCGACAGCACAAGACGGCTTACGCTCGCATCCAATGTGGCCCCAGCACGAGGCCGCAGCAACTCCAAATCATTCCACGACCCGCCCCAACGCCGTCTCTACTCTCCCGCATCAGAGCCTCGTGGCGTCTGGGTCCTCGCGCGAGCCTAATAGTAACGCTGTGGCACGCGACTTCCTGATGTCGCTGAACCAGCTGCGCCTTCTTACGGCATTTGCACGCACGCCTCCCGCCAGCGCTTGCAATGTCGCTGCCTTGGACCGTGTCGTGCCCCTTCAAGGGGGGAGAGTAGGTCTCAGTCTTTCTGCTCTGTCGGCTGCGGCCTCCTTCCTGCGTCCGCGTCCTGGTCAGTTGTTCCGTTGCCACGCCTACTCTCATTCTCTGCTTGTCGCCGTCAATTGTCGCATTGCCCTGCTTGTCCGGCTCTGCTGCATCAATCCTCGAGATATCAATCACCTACATTGCCCGTCGTACCTTCGACATGCCACAGCGACGACCACCACCAAACCGAAGAACCACAAATATAACTTGGGCCCCCTACCCGACACCGTCTGTTGCCGCCGCATCCTTCTGGCCGATGGGGAGTCCACAGCGTGCACAAGCCCATGACGGACCCGGACGTATCCCTGGTGGTACGCTTCCGGGTGCAGGACGGACGTCTACACGATCGCGAGTTTCTGGTGCACGATAACGACGTCCTCACGTCTCCACTGCATTCGGTCGCCATGTCTTTGCTGTACCGGCTGCTGCGGCTCGGGAAGCAGATACCGGACGCGGAGGAGAGGGCTCCCGCGGCCACCGATACCGTGTTTGTGGAGGCTTGGATCCGCAACGGCCCTTCTGCCAGGATCATGGTCTGTATCCTTCAAGGTCTCCATATTTCTTTCGGAGTGGGGCGTGGCTTTTCTGGTGATTGGGGCAGGCCATGATTTTGGACTGGACCTGAAGGATGCGATATCCCGGTTCCTGTCTGCCATAAACTTCTTGTATGGACCGGAGGTCACGATGTTAGTCTTTTTTGCAGCATGCATCTTGGTTGCAAAACTCTCGGGCTTCCTTATAGGACTCTTTACCTGATACTCGGGGCTTCAATACTTGGGACTCGAAGACCGGGTGTCACACTGGCACGTCATGTTTTGAGGACGAAGAATTTGGCCAGAAATGAGGCCTTTCATGCGCACTGAAGCTGGTGGCATTCTCAGCAGCAGTATGTTTTGTAGAGTATTGGCTAGAATGAACATTTCCTGTTGACCCCTTGACGCTGGTGGCATCCCCAGTGCATATCTTGTCGAACTCGCGCACGTCGCTTGCCGGAGACGTTGCGAACGACCACGACACAAGGATGGCGTGGCCGTCAAGAAACACCTCCCTTCTCTTCCACAGTGCAGAATATCAGAGCAGTTCCCGCTTTCCGACCTCAAGAGCCTTGTTCGCCAGCGCTTCTCTCGCCGCGGCCAGCCACCGACATGTCGGTGGCCTTTACGCCCAGGCCTTTCGTATTCAGTGCCTACAGACACCAGATAACTGTGCCATGGTTGATATGATGAGTGGAGGCAGATGCGAGACAGGCTTGGGATCTGGCAATGTTTTCACGATGCGACATAGCCTCGCCCTCGGCCGACACGGTGTAGTTGGACATGTTGACGGCTCCGCCTGGACACTGCCACGTGAGCCCGAGATGCCAACGATTGCTGGGAGTGTACATGAGAAGACGTTGGCGGCATTGTGACGCTATGGGCGATCAAGTGCAAGGACGGTAAAATACAGAGGGTGCTTGAGCAGAGCGAGGATGGGCATGGGCTTCTGCCATAGTTGCACCGTCAGACAGCATCTGCAGCGACCTGTGCCATCACAAAGGAGGCGGCTCTTGGCACATGAGGCTGGGTCGGTAGATGAATGGCGGCAAGCAAAACTGGGAAAGGTGAGTCCTCAGCTTCGTCAGGGCCAGCGTGCCCAACAATCCAGTCGCGTGCATGGCACAGCAGAAGACGTGATGGAACGCAGTTGCCAGAGATGTATGCAATGCATTCAATTGGTCAACTATGAAAGAAGCGACCCGAGCAACGAGACAAGACCCAACCAGACAATATCCTCCTGCGAGCAATGCAGTGAAAGAAACGGAATCAAATGCTGGAAAACAAAGGTGAAAACACGCGCCGGACCCAAACCCTCGCCGCGCTATGCATTTGTTGACGCAATCAAGCCTGTGGCAGCCACCTTCCACGTTGCAGTGATGGCCCCAACGTCCTCCCTTGTTCTCCCTCGGCGTCCGCAGAGTCCTTCGATGCCGTTGTACCCCGGCCGCGCCACGGGTGCTTCCCGCTCGACTCAGTGCATCCCGAGACCGTGACACTTGTGCCACCAGACTCGATGTCCTGGGCCGTAAGGCGTCCCGGCGTCCTGGTACCGCACCGGTGCCGATGTTCTGGCTGTATCTCATCGACCGCCCGACCGTGTTCTTTCCTACGGTGAGTCTGGAGGACGTCGTGAGGCCGCGACGGTCATGGAAATGGACGCTTCGTTTTGTTCCCGCGATGTAGATGCGTTCTACTGCCATGTCAACTTGGGCTGGAGTTAAGTTTGGCTGTGCAGACGGGGTTCACATCAGGGCGTGGAATGGCGTCGCATATCATGCCAGCCGTGGCGCATATGTTAGCATATGCGTTGGCATATCCACAAACGTGCTGGCAAGCAGAGGGGAAGTTCCGGAAGTAAAGGGCGAGTGGCGTTATGCACCTGTCGGGGTTCGAGTCCTTACTTGCGTGGCATGCAATCGACATGGTAGCGCTGGTAGACTCACCGGTCACAGCGTATAGTATGATTCGTCGAGCTGGTATAAGGTCCGTACGCAGGAATCGAGCTGATGTGTACAATCCATTATGGAACCGATGGTCTAGCTCGCTTACAGTCGGTGGCCAGACTTGGAAATGGTAAAGTTTGCCGTGTAGAGATCAGCATTGAGACTTTTGTCGTAGCCAATGAATCAAGCACGTGCATGGCCAGCTGCGGGATTCTCGAGGCCGGAGTCCGCGAGAGAATGTGCAAGCCTGCAAAGTCCTGGGATTGTCGTACTGCATGAGCTAGCGTCCAAAGTCCTGAAAAGTCGGCAAAAGTGCGCAAAAGTACTAACAGGATGGTCGCATTGCATACATCAGCATGTAAAAGGCCTGTTAGAGATATTACATACATGAGCTGGCGTTGCAAGTCCTATCAGGATGGTCGGAATGTATACGCCAGTGTGCAAAAGTTCTATTAGGGATCATCGCATTGGCTAGCGTGCAAAGTCTTGCGAGGCATTCTAGCGTACAAGTCTGATCGCGGAGTTGAGCTCAGAGCAGCGCCCACTGCGTCCAAAATGTGCAAAAGGAATGGTGCGGCACGGGCCAGTCACGCCAGGGCAATTCGACCAGCAGTGACCCCGGAATCAACAGCTGCAAATGTGGGAGTTGCACCCTGTTATCCTGCGGCAGCTGCGATTGGATTTGAGCGGTAAGTCACAGATATGAGCAAGGTACTACTCAGAATTGCACGCCGATCGTTCAGGTCCAGGCAGCAACATAGTGGAGATTGAGATCTTTACCCCGCGTCGCTGAGATCGAGATCTGTACAGCTGGACCCACATTATTAAGATCGAGATCGGCAACCCTGGGACAGCAGTTCCAGGCAGCACCATTCGCCTGAGTCCGTCCTGTCTGCTAAAATGGGGGCTGCTGTGCAGAAATCTGCCTTGGCCGAGGTGCAGGAAATCAGAAATTGTAGAAATGCTGCGGTGCAGAAGTTGAAGTCTGCCTTGCTGCTCTGTTTTAGGAAATTAAAAGTGTACAACGCTGTGCAGCTCAGTCTGCCCTGCATCTAGTGCGGAAGATCAGAAACTGTACAAATGCTGTGGTGCAGAGACGGTAGAGGGACCTGCATCGGGGGCTGAAGCCCTACATGCAGATACTACTCGGCTTCGCCAATCATGTCTTGCTCAACACCACGAGGTTGCTGTATCGGTTTAGCTCGGTCTCCTGATGCCTTGTCCGCGTGGCCGGCAATCTCAGGTCCAGGCAGTCAGCCTTGGGGGGACTGGCCCCTGCGTGGTGCAGGTACAGGCATTAGTAGCCGGTCAGGCTCTGCTAAACATGAGCAATTCGGCCAGGCAGCAAACTTGTTGAGTCTGCACACACCAACTCCTGCAAATTGGGGCTGGACCTGCGAGCTAGACCGGTCAGCCTCGGACTAAGGCAGATTTCGGTTGGTCCTTTGCACATGCAGCCCACGCCCGCAACCGAGGAACCATGCCCATGGCGAGGTCGTCAGCTGGTCCGTGGCGCCATCAAACCCGGCGCAACGGTTCAGAGGCATCAGCCAACCGTAATCGTGGTGGCTAGTGGCATCCGGAATCGTAAACCATACCAGTTCGAGAAGGATGCATATGTGGGAGGCCATACCAGGACGCTCTGGCGTCAGTGGCGTCCATGGCAAAATTGCCTCAAGATGAACCCCTTTTTCTTCGCCCCATTGACTGCCGAGCACCTGCCTCTCAGACATATCCTTCCGGAGGTGGAGCCAATTGAAAAGGCCTCATCGGTGTGCGTCTCGGTGTCCGTCTCGGCGACCGCATCAGATGTTGCCATTCCAGTCCTTGCATGGAAGCCTGCGTGATCTGGCCTCGATGGCAGGGCAGATGTGCAGGCAGTGCGGGCGCATGTATCACGGCCAGCGTGACAGGCTACCCCGCACGAGGCTGGTTACCCCACACGAGGCTGAGTGCACATTTATCTTTCGTGCCGTTGTCGCAACACCTAGTTAGACTCCTCCGTCTCAGAATTCATATCTCAATTGCACCCTTAACGGCGATCTCTCCTGTTGTAGGTTGCCCCGTGATAGCAGGCATCTGTGGGCTGGCGGTGGCAGCCCAGAGCTGTCATAAATGCAACTGGCACGCCTCTCAGACCTGCTCTGGTCGTGCCCTGGACTTTAGCATCAAGCGCTCTGGTGTGGACACCGGACGCCTTTTCCTTCTTTTTGGCATCCCTTTGCTCATCTCTCTGCATTCCCTCTTTCCTTGAACTTCCCGCAGGCGGTGCGTGCCTGGAAGTGACCTCGGGTGCTCCCGTACGTCCAGCTCTCTCTGTCCACGCGGATCGCTGCTGACTGCTCAGACGAACGGCTGCTGAACCCGCATCTTGCTCGACAGCAGCACGCCCGCTGGACCCACGTCTTCCTCGACGGCAGCGCGTATGCTGATGCGTGGCAAGCGAGAGTCTGCAGCATCCGGACCCTACGACAGCCGGACTCGATCGATCCGCGCTCTCTCCAACAGACGGTTTCCTCCTGCACAAACACTTTGACGGACTGGGGCGGGAGAGGACGCGCAACAAGGACTCGGCCGCCAGCTAGACTTTGCAGAAGCGATTGGTTCATCTCAGGATGACGGTCTGATGGCACTCGATGCTTGAGTGCCGGACGAGTATATGCCGGACAGGCAGAGTTAGGAGAAGAGACACAACACAGCGAGGAGGCGACTGCTCCGGGCTTGCAGCAATGCTCGCCCCGTCTCAGGACGACCGTCTCTGATGGAACAGCTTGATGCTTGAGCCTGCAAGAGCATGTGCTGGGACGAGCGTCAGCAATCGAGACACGACGTCAAGACGGCAACCACGCGCTGGATTGCAACACTCGCTCCACCCAAGATGGCCTCTGAACACGATGGGACTCGCGACGACTCGCGCATCTACTTCAAACACAGGAACGCCCTCCCGGCTGGGACGAGCGGTCAGGAACGCACATGACGAGACTCTGCTCTGGACCTCGCACGATGCTTGCACCTGCTGGATCGCCCACGTCTTTGGGGTGTTTGACGCAACGCCTGGAGATGACGGAGCACATGAGGACTGCAACCAGCCGGATTGACGCACGCTTCTCGCGGAATGGGCGTCCTGCTGGACAGGACGCCGTGTTTGAGGCCGGGAGAGGGACGAGACATCAGCCGTCTGGCATGGCACGATGACTGTGCGGCGTTAGCCATCTGGGCGTGACGGAAACTGCAACTCTCGGCCTCGCATGCCACCAGCCTCGGATGCAGAGATCGGCCCCGAACAACAACTGATGCCATGCGGCGCCGGGAAATGGGATCGGTCGACGTGGTCGGTTAGTTGGCGGGTTGGGTATCCAGCGAGTCGGGTATCCAGCTGACTACTAATCCTCGAACAGGTATATCTCCTACCCACCATGACCTTTGACCTCCTTCCTCCCACCTCCACGACAACCTTCAACCTCCTTCCTCCTTCCTTCGACCGCGATCCTTTGACTCACCCACTCAGGCATCCTTACTCCTCCATACTTATTCTGCGACGTCTCTCGGGGCGGCTTCATATGGCCGGGATCAGGGCAAGGAGAGCCGAGCCAGCTGTCCGTTTCAGCAGGCGGCATCAAGAGATGGGACAGTATGGCAGGTGCAATGAGGAGATGGACGAGACCATGCGATCTGGGATGAGACAAGTCAGCAGGCGGCATCGAGGAGGAACGAGGCACGACACAGGAATCTGAGGAGACAACCATGGGGCCGGCTTGGAGAGGACACAATGAAGCTGAGCTCGAGAAGAAGGACAGCACGCACGCATCGAGAGGAAGACACGACAGGCTGGACAGCGGACCACGACGATCGGATCGCTTCGACAATCCAAGCTGGAGACGACGAAAGACAGACCTGGGGATGAATCGCAACGTGGAGACGACGTGGCTACGTGCCTGTGCCTGCCGAGCGCCCTGGGATGCAGGGCGCGTGGCGTCAACCGGCGGATGCGAGGTTCGGTTGCGGCTCTACCAGTAGATCGACAGCCAGTGCGTTACTTGACGACATCCTATGGCTAGCACTTGGAGGTGGCCAGCAACGGTTACGGGAGCAGACAGAGAACAGCAAGAATATACGAGGCAGACAAGCAAGATCCAGGTAGCACAGAGCAGCATCCAGAGAAGCAGAATAAGGTGCAAAGCAGGATAGCAAGAGACAGGGTAGCACAATGGTAAGATACAAGGCAGCACGACAGCAACGTACGAGGCAGCACAGAGCAGCACACATGCGCAGCCGCAGCAAGATGAACGCACAAGAGGTGCTGCATCAATCTGGCGTCGGCTCTGGCACGAGTCTGACACACTACGAGTCCTGATGCATCTCCTCAGTCCGATGCATCCGTCCTGGCCCTTAGCCTACGGTGCTGATGTGGCGCTCGTGTATTGCTCCTGGTGGGTTCCTGCGCTTCAATTTTACCTTTAGTATTTGCACCGGCGACTTTTGGCGCAGGGCCAGAATTTGTTGCGTCGCCGAAAAGCCAGAGCGTGGGCGATTGAGTGCCTCGACGACGACACTCTTCTTGCCTTGGACAACCTGCACGATATTTGGATATGTAAGTTGGCCTCGTTCAGTTGCCGCGCTGTTGATCCAAGTGGTGCCAGTGGCATGTTGCAGACTCGAAGACAACGAACTCGGAGACACGGACGACGAAACAACGAGCGCGGTCGATGCTGGCATGTCGCTTCAGCCTCGGGACTGTCAAGCTGTTCAGCATGCGTCAGGACTGTTGAGACTCTCCTGCTGCCGAAGCGCTCAGGCAGGCTTCCTGTTGCGGTGTGGGCTGAGGACTGGGCTCCTGCGCTCGAAGCATATCCGCGTGGACGTCTGTAGACGATACCGCGGCTGTAGGATGCGGTTGGAAGAGCAGGCTGAGCTAAGTCTATGGATGGTCATAGTCGGTCCATATCATCGATCTGCGTCTCCAAGATGGTGCTGGTGCGCCAGCTGGTGGCGCACTTCACGGCCTAGGATCTGCTGGAATGGCCGTCATCGATGGCGGATGCCAATCATGGTGCCCAGTGCTAGGCCGGTTCTGCCTCACATGGCGCCCCAGGTGCTCACAGAGACATGCGAGGCGCGAAGGTTCCGACGTGGATACGAATCGCCGGAAGAGCATTGATGGAGCCGGCATGGTTTTGCTACAAGTGCAGCCAGGCGACGCAGTGGTCGAAGCGGACCAGCTGTTACGAAGCGGGATAGCGCAGTCAGCATGAATCAAGAGTAAGCTCATCGCGATGGTTCAGTGCATCAAGTCGGCAATGTGAGCGCATCAAGATCGCGGAGCAAGTCATGGGAACGGGAGCGCATCAAACTGCGACGAGCCAAATGCATCAAGCCTGGTCATGGTTCACCGTTCACGTCTCGAGCCGTGCAACGAAGCACATCAAATCCTACCTGGATCAAGTACATAAAGCCCGCAACGTTCAAGCGCATCAAAAGTCATAGTAATAGTCAACATGTCCACGAAGCGCAGCGGATCAGGACGTCAAGTCTGGCAACGGAAGTGCAAAGGCCATGGCGTTAACACTCGTGGCAACGAATTGTATCAGAAGGAGTCAACGAAAGTGCAAAGCTATGGCATCATAGGGCAACGCTTCAAGTGCGAGAGCCCGCAGCGGATCAAGTCCATCAGGCCATGACAAAGGAAAGTGCACAAGAGTCTGGCATGGCCATGGCATCAAGCCAGCAACGATCAACGAGGACCTGGCATGGATGAAGTGCAGTGGTCATGGCATCAACCTGCAACGGTCAAGTGCATCCAAGGCAACGGATTAAGTCCATCGAGACAAAGCAAGCGTATCAAAAGCCGGCAATGGTCATGGCATCAAAGCCTGCACCGGAATAAAGAGCCTGGCATGGATGGAGTGCGGTCATGGCATCCTCATGGCAAAGGTCAAGTGCACCAAAGGCCATGGCAGTTGGCCATGTATATCATGCCTGCAATGTCCAAGTACATCCAACGTCATGCAACGGGTCAAGACGTCTACGAAGCGCAATGGAACAGGGGCATCGAAGCCAGCAGCGGATCAAGGAGGTCATGGCATCGGAATGGATTAGTACACCAAGGCCGCAGCGCGCCAAGTACATCAAATGACCTTGATTGAGTGCAATGCATCGAGTGCAAGGGTCATGGCAAACTCATGGCAGCCAAGTACATCAGCGCACGTCATGCATCAACACGCAACCATCAAGTACCAAGAAAGGCATCGCATCAAGGATCAAGTGCAAAGCACAAAGTCATGGCATCAATACCAATCAAATACATTGAAAAGTACAAAGGCGCAAGTTTATGGCAACCAAGTCCATCAGCAGAAGTGCAAGGCATCCACACGGCAATCAAGTACACCAAGCCGGGAACGTAAAGGCATCGCATTCGCCATGTGCAGAGGCACGAACAGCCGACTGAAGCTCGAGGAAGCACGCCTGCACCCGTAGGGTCTCGCCAGCGCCCGCCAGGCGCTGCGGGTTGCTGACCATGTCCTTCATGCTGTTCTCGAACTCGCCGAACTTGTAACCTTTCAACTTTTTTCGATGCAGACCCACTCTGGCATCCAGCACAACCCAGTCTACAGCGCACTCACTCACCCACGTCTTGCACCAACTTGATTACCACTTGAACATTGCACTTGGACTTTTCACCAAGCTTCCAATTGTCCCATTATTCCATGGTTGGAAGTTGTTCGGAAAATCAATTCGAATCAGCGACTCATTTCGATCTTCGGTTCTTAAGGCAGTGTTGCTGTGAAACCCCTGTTCTTATTGCTAATGGACCTGCTGGTGCACCCAGAAAAGTTGCCGTTGTCTACAAGCAACTCGTGCCACACGACTGGCATAGATCAAAGACCTTTATTGATTTCATCAACGACCTAGTTAGAGCCTCGAAAGCCAGTCCTGTCTTTGACATGATCAATCTGGCGTGCTTCGCCGTGGGCCTGGTGCCTAATCCGATCACCATGGCCGTTAGCATTACGGTCCAAGTCGCTGGCGGCACGGACGAAGAGCTCTAGTCCCGCTACCGCCGCAACACCTCCCTCGATCAAATCAACGAGTCGCCCTTTAAACCGTGCGGTCTATACTGCATGATCACGACCTTCAAGCCCGAAAACCCGCATGATCTAATCCTCGGCATGGACCTGACGAATTTGGGCCTCCTTCGGCGATCGATTGAGCTACATTCGAGCCCTCTGTGCAAGTAATAAATTTGCGCATTGCCTGTTAACAAGTCGTTGAAGCTCGAGGTGTCGGTCCATATCCGCGAGCATTCGGGTCTATTCTTGTTACTGGACCTCTCTTGTTACCTTGGATAGCTTGTCCAGTTGATTTGCTCCCTATTTCCATATATATCGTAATGGGCTGGCGCGGTGGTCAAGTTGTACAGTCACGTGACTGTGCAAGGTGCTTTACCAATGGCGGAGCAGGCAGTAGTTTTGATAGTCCTCAAGCAATAGCAACAGATTAATTCAGCATTGCTTCAAACAACGAATAGAGTGCTAGTTGTGCTCGAGACCTTCTGTTCTTTCTTTTGTTACTGTTCCTACGACGCGCTGTAGGCAGTCGTGCGATCGATTCTGCCATAGCGACTATACGCAGACCTCCAGTGTTTGGTTTGTTGTTGTTGTTGTTGTTGTTGTTGTTGTTGTTGTTGTTGTTGTTGTTGTTGTTGTTGTTGGTAGGCGAGCGAGACAGCGTTACGACTAGAGCACCGCGCCCATCTACCGGCCCCTGGACAGGCCCCTGTGCGTTCTTGCACATGCATGCCAACGAATTCAATCCCCGTACAATGGAAAAGTAATTACTAGTCGAAGTATTTTCTCGGCGAGGGAAAGGGCTTTCCACTGTCTGAGCTGATTATTTACGATCCACCATCCGATGTTCAACTCGGCATAGCCTAGGACAAGGTTATTCTCCGCGTTTTGATTGACCGATACCAACACTTTCGTGTCCTTAGGTTTCACACGCCAGTTGTGAGGCACTTTCGTGCATAAGACCTCGTCAAGCTGAGGTGTTAAAGTGAGTTGCCAAAAATCCGCCGGTGGAAACAGTCACGTCCTTTACTGTGTGCTCTCCCAAATGATTCGACTCTCCGGCTTCACCTTCTATAAAACGGTACAAGGAGATTGCATGCTAGCATACGTTTTCCTGGCTGTTACATCCCGGTGTCACGACTGACACCTGTCTCCCCAGACGGAATAGGTCTCGGTGGTCGGCCGCAGATACACTCGGAGGATTGCTAGGATTCGCGTTCGGCGTCTCGATGGATAGAATGGAGTCATCCAAGGGTGATAGAGGGGGCAACCGAACGCCGCTGGCGAGTATATGATATGCTACCATCCCTAAGACTGCCATTCGTCGGTTTCTGAAAAGTCATGGGATGCACCAGAGTTAGCCATTGTCGCCAATTGCTGGCTCAGAGACCTGCGATGGTTCCGGTGCAATCTGGCGAGCTGCACCCGCGGGCTGCGGTGCCGACGACCATTTAAATGGTGCAGTGGTTCCATCGGCTTCGGCATTTCAAATGATGACGCCGACGCTGCACCCACATCTCACTCAACGGGCGTTCTCAATTGCTCCCCCATGCACATTGGAAATGACTGCTGGACTCCGAGGGAGCTTCTGTCCAAGTTGATGGGCCTCATCTATACGGTCGGATTCGCCTTTGAATGGCGGTCGAAGCAAACTGTCCCATCGTCTGCCAGCAGAAATAGCTAGTCAAGACATGATGGTCGATCCGGCTGCTTCACTTCCCACGTCCAGAGGGCAGCTGTCTCGACATGTTCGCAATGTGTTCTGCTTCGCTTCGGCGGTCGACATCTTTGTTCAATAGTTTCGGTCCATAAAGATTCGAATCACAAGAAGCAACCCATGCACACCGTTGAGAGTTGTGGACTATATCGAAGCTGGTAGCACGCTGACGAGCTTGGTTGCGCAAGCGCATCAAGTTTCGTTGACGGAAAGAGACATATCAGATTGGCAGTAAATGGTCCTGCGGTATCGTATGCTGAGCAGGGCTTGCGATAGATATGCACCTTACTCGAGCAGTTCCCGCGGAGCAGTGAGATGATCGTTAAGCATTATATCTTGTGGCGTGCTCATTTACGACATAGACAAGTCATATGTGATGCAACTCTACCGGGAAATCAAGGGACCAAAGATTAAAGTTCCTCTGGAATCACCATTCCACGCCCGCGCCCATTGAAGAACCTGTATCAGCTGCGACCATCGGCCCGGACGATGGTGGTCGTTCCCTCGTGGACAAGCCATCATTTGGTCCCCCGTTCGGCGTTCGCAGTAAGCAGGCCTTGCAGATTCAGCCCGACGAACTAGACATATTTCTGGCAAGGTTGACCGTGGCCGACTCGGATGGTTAATTGGGCCGTTTCCCACGACCAAGCCTTTCTCGCACCCTGCGTCGCATTGTCGCCTACTTCCGACACTTTGATCCACACGCTCCGATCATCCATTGTGCTTTTTTCAAAATTTCCGAAGCCAATTGTAAGCCCCCCCCCAAACGGTATTATATTGTAGAATGACAAATGGCTGACGCAGTTGCTAACGCAGCGGCCCCCCTCGTTCTAGTCATACTTGCTATTGAAGCAGTGCATTCGTTCGAAATGGAATTTGCCCACGCCGACTATGAGGCGGCCTGTATTTTGCTCACAAAAGGTATTGTGTTCTCCTAGTTGCACAACTCACACGCCATAACAGGGAGGGAGGGTCAAGTGTGGTGTTGTGTACCAGCACCAGCACCAGATCCCTGACTGATCGCTGTAGGCAAACGGTTTCAGCATAGTTCGGGACGTCCACGGCACCGCACACACACGGTTCGGTCGCCTAGGCAGGTGGCAGGGCAACCGCAGCATCAGCATCGCCTCGCCATACCGTGTGCTGTGCCATACCACGCCACACCCTTCCCAAACGGACCGTGAGCCCATGCATGTGTGCCTGCGCAGGCATGGTTAGGCATGGTCAATGGTCTGTGCCAACAGGAACAGGTTGAGCGCGTCCGAGGTGTCGCAAGCTGGCTGGCTGGCGCGGCTGACGAGTCGGTGGCGCGCATCGACCGTCTGCAGTTGAGGGTCATAGGGCAGTAGTGTGTCCGAGTGTTTGATGGCCAAATTTTTGGACTTTTGCCACTTTTACTCTTTTTGCTCTTTGACCACTTTGGGGCTTTTCGTCCCAACGCCACTTGTGTCCCACTGTCGACCAAAACCACCCTCTTCGTCCTCCTCGAGTGTGTGAGTGTGTTAGAGTGTTTGATGGACCAACTTCGGGACTTTGGCAACTTTTGGCATTTAACCACTTTTTGGCGCGTGGGAAAAAAGGGACACACCCTCGCTCGCTGCCTCAAACTCGACACACGCACGACCTTGTCGAAGCATCTCGTGGATCTTTATTTCGTGCTGTCTTGCTCGCGCATCTGTGCCGTCTACGTCACGGCTCCAGGGCCTTGGGGCTGCGATTTGTCTGTATTTCGTGTCCGGGGCGGAATGGCGCTGGGGCAACGCAACGGGCCTGGCGAGAAGCGACCTGCTGGGCTGCTGGGCTGCTTCGTCGACGTTGCCTGCCTGCCTGCAAGCCACGGACCCATCCCCCGCCCGCCCGCCCCTACGATGCAGCCTTTGCCCAGATCTTCAGAAACCGGAATCGGCCAGTGCATTCGTTTTCGCGGCAAAGGCTGCCCTGCGCGAGAGGGTGCGCCAAATCCAGTCGCCTTCTGTCACGGGCGAAAATGGCGTCGATGAGATCCCGGGAAGCATTTCCCTTGCCTTCCAATCTTCGATTCTCGTCTCCATCGTTCTGGATCCTGTCTCCGCCCGTCTCGCCGCAACTGTCGTCGGAGGCTTGCATGGGGGCGAAGAAGCGGAGGAACATCTCAGATGCTCGGCCATCTTGACCGTGGCATTAGATACGGTACTTGAATATCTTCTGGAAGAGTGTGATGTAGGAAGTATTGGGCATGGAACTGGCACAAGGGTCTATAATGCGGCTAAATCTGCTGCTTTCTACCTGAAGGAGGGTTATTTCAAGGCTATGTCTATCCTCTGTCACTATGGGCGTCCGCCGATTGACGTCTTGGTCCTCCCAAAGAGTGGCAGAAGCTATTTGTACGGCCTCAGACAATGGATGGAGTGGGAATGCGTATGAAAGTGGTCGACGCTGGCTATCTGGCCGCCGACCGGGCTGTGGCTGGAGGCGACTAGACTGGGAATACTTAAGACTTCTTTTCTCTTGCCAGACTCCTTTTCTCTTCCTCTGGCACTTGTTGCTCGTCCTTAAAGGCCCATCCATTCTCATCTTCGGTATTGGAAGCTCGGTGGATAGCTGGGGAGGATGACATAAAGGCCTTTGGGGACCAAGACTGGTAATCCATTGTCAGAATGACTTGCGAGAAGCATTGCGACTGTCCAACTGATGCTGCTGATGACGTGATATCCTTGTATTATTACGATTGTGCGGGAAGTTGTTTCTCGTAGACGAAGATTGAAGATTCACTGACGAGAATTCCGGCCTCAGCCTTTCTCATCTACTTTATGGACGCTCAATGTTCTAGTATCATAGCCTACCCGGTCTATTACACCTTTTCCACTGGATGAGCCTCACTTTACGCCAGATGAGCAGAGAAACAACCTCAACCGCCTCGCTCGAGGGCCGTCAAAGCCCACTGCCAGGGTGCGTCTAAGCTGAGCTGGCAATCGCCTGTCTCACGGCCATTCGTTTGAATGAGGCCCCCCCGTCTTTGCTTCTATTTCTGGCTTGGATCCGGGAAATTTGCCGCGCGCACCCACCTGGTGAATGCCAATTATTGCTCCAATGCCCAGGTGCCAGCAATTATACCAAGTTGGTGCTGACGCCACTTGTCACGCGAAAGCATTTTGTGCTGCAGCACCCAGAGTACGTCCGACTTACCACAGCATTGTACTCCAATGATAGCAAGAATGCAGCGCTGGACCCGGCTTTTGGGGCAAAAAAGAGTCTTATCAAGCAGTTGGATGATCGGAAGATCAGCCACCCACTCACTCACGTCTGGCACCAACTTGATTGCGTGCTTGTCGGAATTCCGCAGCCACTTGAACACACAACCTTAGTTTCACATAGCCCGAGTTCACACAATCCACCTTCACACATTCACTGTCTTGTTAAAGCAGCTCGTCTGCTGTATCTCGTGTGTCTTGCTCGGCGCATCTTACATCTCACGAATCTGCGTCTCGCAAATCTGTTCCGCGAATCTTTGCATCTCGTGTATCTACAGGTCGCATATCTTGCAGCTTATCTATCTTGCATATTCGCGTATCTGAGCCAGTGATCTCATTTGCGTTCCCTTCGGCGCCCTCGCTTTACTGTCCGGAAAGCCGTCCAGTTCCTCAACAACCGCATCGACTCTTTGACCCCATCGAGGGCAGCTCGACTCCATTGCTTTTGAGACGTTCCTGCGCCGTGTAAAGGTTACACAAAAGACATTCGCGACCGTACAAGTCTGGACTCACGCTATGCTGAGCGTGGTCTTGCCTGCGCCTGAAGACCCCATCAGCGCCCCTAGTGTCCCGGGCTTGATCCAGTCCTGCACGTTGTCCAGGAGTTGCAGATCGCCAGACCGGGTTTTGACGGTGTAGGACAGCTTCTCCGTTTCAGCCGGTGCCTGTGCCCGCAGGTGCGCATCAGCCAAATGATAGGACGCGGATCGATCGGCTCATGGTCTACAAGTCTTGTCGATGTATCACCGGGGATTTTGCCAACGCACATCGATCCTGTTGTTACTCGAGTAGCACGACCTCCACCTATCACCAACTGTCACAGGTCAGTCCCGCACCAGCCAGCAACGGCAAACACCCGCACCGCTGGGACCCCAAAAGCTAATCCTCATCCTAACTCTCACTCTCACACTCACCCTGGCCAGACCACTCCGTCCAACATGGCACGCACCCTGCACACTCTCGAAACCCCCGGATGCCGAACGGCGATCCTTCGCGGTCAATGCACATCGATTCTATTCTTCCTCGAGGCCCGCTCTTCCAAACCAGTGCCAAATGGCGATCCTCAGCGCCCACTGGATCCCAAATCAATGAGGCAATCGGAAACGAAAGCGAGAGGCGTAGCGAGACTGCTCCCAAGCAAGACGAAACAAAAGAGAAAGTTAGCAGAGCTGTACCGGAAAGAGGAGTGCTCTCGGATAGGGAGATATAAGCGGAGCTATTAAGCACGAGCCTAGGAGCCGGACGACCACGAACAACGACAATGTAGGAACATAAAAGGAAAGAATTTGTCCTCCATGCGACCTGATTGACACCACCCCTTTCCTTGTCTTTGGGCGAAAGTTGCAAACAATCCCAGTTCAAACAATCAAAGTTCACATACGGGGCACACACAATATTGGGGTCAAAAAAGACGGGGCAAGCAACGTCGGGGCTGAATATGTCAAACACGATCTTGCAAGTAGTAGTTAATTGACATCGAGGGAAAAATGCTACCGTGCCCCTCTCCAGAACCATTCTCCCCGAGGTTTCTGGGCCGCCGATGGTCTCTCTCTTCGAATTCTTCGTCACTCCCAGTTCTTTCCGCGTCTCCTCGAGGACCGCCTTGTAGGGTGGGCGAGAAAGAAGTTCTGTAAGCATAACCTGGAGCTGAGTGAGTGGTGGTAGTGCAGCGCAGTCAGCGCAGTAAGTGCAGCGCAGTGTTTTGTTGTATTCTGTTTTTGTTCTGCTTTGTCCCCAACGAGCTCCTTGTCTTGTATTGGCTTGCATAGTATTCGTTTTCTTGACGTCATCCACCATCATCAAATGCCTTTGATAGATTATCGGTGTCGCCCCAGCTTCTTTACGTAGTAGTAGAATATTGAGAATTTCGGGCATCAATGGATAATGCTTTGGCTGTGTCTTCTTCGTGGCGGGATGGAAGAACTAGGTAAACGCCTTGATGGCGGAGAGACGGACCTAGACCGAGCCAATATACATCGCTCACGATCCATCATGGCGTCCAAATATCTCACCTCGACGCTGCTGTCCTTGAAACCCTTGAGAAAAACCTCCTGGAAGGGGTGGATCGCGTGGGTGGCAGCCGTTGACGCCATGTGAATCTGCCTGCGCCCATGATAGGGTCCGCCCACCCGAGTGCTTGTCGGAATTCCGCAGCCACTTGAACTTTGTCAGGGAAAACAAGACTTGGGCTCGTTTGCACCCCCGTTCTGCATTGCACACTTGCAAACACTCTGCTCATGTTGAAATTTGGCCGCTTTTCCGCGACAAGACTGTAGGTGGTAATTGTTTGGGATCACCCACGAGGATGCCCTTTGAACATCTATGATTTGAGAGGAATCAACACCGAGACTTCAATTGACTGTGCAGTTTCATCGATAACGACGGTTCAAATTCGCCATCCCGCAGGATCTCGAAGCCGGCGTGTGCAAACGAGGATTTGGTGGGCTCATTCTGAATTGCAGATTGTCTGGCAAACGTGACCTCCCTGGCTGGCTGCATGCGGCGCTGAGGAGGCCTTGACAGATATGAAAGATCAACAAAGTGCTTACTGGCTCCACGAGCACTAGCAAGAGCAATGATGCCATTCTTTCTGAACCGAACCGACTTGGTAGGGCTTCGCCAGATGTGTGAGAGTGTCAGTTCCTATCCGAGTCTCGAATTCTAGAATCAGGAGCGGGGTTCTTGTTCCAACGACTTTGGCAGCTTGCTGTCGAGAAAGAGGACATTGGTGGGCCAGGCTTTGGTGATGGGTGAGGGCTCTCCGTAGCATAATACCACCCGGGCTGGGCTGGAAATGCTCCGAGGCTGTGGCAAGATAGCCCGGTTCAGGTGCTTATGGTGATCAAATGGAAAGGAATGAAGAAGGACCCCACTCGTCGTCTTGATCTTGGTCTTCTCGATGCCGCCGTTGATCTGTCCAATGCAGAGGAGGTGCCAAAACTGAAGAATGGAGACAGGGTGGTTGACGTCGTGGACCGGGAGGCGCTGTGGTGAAAGTTGCCCCTTTCCTTCCGCAGCGAACTGCAGATGCGATCGGCAGCCTGAGATACACCATGAAGTAGTTGTTGACAACGGCGTGCATCGCTGCGTCTTCGTTGCATAGGCCCCCGCCCGGATGTGTCATGAAGTCATCCACCTAACTGTCGGTGATGTCCTTGCGCTTCTTCTTTTCTTCTTTCTCGCGCTCTTCTGGCCCCAGATTTCATCGACGTCAAGCAGTTCGATCGCAACTCACGTCGCACTGTGCCATCTTTTGACTTCGTGTCCAGAGCATGTTCGTCTTCAGTTATTCAATTTCTGTCCGTCAACGAGGATATCGTTCTTCGTAGGCAAACTCGTGCTTGAGGCGGGTACTGAGGCTCGAGTCTGAGAAGTCCTCTAGTGAATAAAGGCCGACCGTCCGTTCAGGTGGTGTATGGTTTGTAGGCCGCCGAAATAGTCTAGATCTATTGTCAGGAGAAATCCATCTGAGCTGGAGGATAACTTACTTTGAAAGGCTTCTTCATTGGGTCTTCGATGCGTCAAGAATCGGTGCGCCGTCTAGTCCGTCCTCTTCATCTACGCCCTCAAGAGCACGATTCTTGTCTTTGCTGCCGCAAATAAAGATGGATGCATCGAGATCGTTGGTTGTGACGAAGGCGTAAGACCGGTTCTTCTTGTTCGCTCGGTAGATGTGATCGGCAGCAGCAGTACGCTATGGCAAAGTCCTGTTCTCAAGGAGTTCGTCTTCGTTGCACGGCCCAAGTTGCCCCTTTCCTTGCGCACTGAATTGTAGATGCTATCGATACCAACCCCGGCTGGATTCTCCAATGCCATCCAGTGCCACACAGATGTTTAAATCGCTCTCAATGCCTCGATTCCATATTATGCCACTGATCTGGCTGTTTCCACCGACAACTGGTGTAAAAGTGAGGTTCTATAGCAGACCAAAGTGGCAAATCTACGCACCTAGAACTAGGGCAGAAATAGTATCTCCTTCTCCTTCTCCTTCTCGGCGTGATTCTGCGAACTCGGAGCGGAAGGCGAGGGGTGATGAAGTGGAGGAGGTTGTTCTTGTGCTTTCGAGGGTTGCCTCAGCTGCGCAGCTAGTAAGGCATCATGCATAGCTGGACAGTAAGCACAGAGGCACAGGGCCAATAGATGTACAGGAAACGCTGCCTGCACAGGAACGACCAGCTGGACAGCAAACAAAGCTGCACAAAATCAACAGCTCGACAGCAAATAAAGCTGGACAGCAAACACTGCAGTCAGCAAGTAGCGCAGTTTACAAGGCACGTGCACGTCCATGTCCGCCCAGTCCCTCGAGTTGGTTTTGCGAATTTTTTTTTTCTTTGGGAAAAAATGTTGCATGCACACTCACTGACTTGTTGAAGTATCTCGCGTATCTTGTTCGCTTATCTTGCAGCTCGCGTATCTTCGCATATCATACTCGCGAATCTATGTGAATGTGTAACAATACCGACGGTAACAACACCAGCGCCAGCAACAGCAACAGCAATTGCAGTTGCAGCGGAAAACGACCTGCCCTACCTGCTTGCTCTGCCTATGAACACCATACCACGCGCATTTGCAGGAGCCCAATTTCCGAGCGTAAGTATGTATAGCTCTTCCACGGATTCCTCCAGCAATAACTTAATCGGTGCTATTACGATGGTCCAGACTCTTCTCTACATATCTAATAACGAGTTCTCGACTACGCAGACCGGCTTCGGGCATGGTAATACAGGAGACGCGATGGCTGAGGATATGATGAACAGCATGGCAAACGACGAGATCTTCTGGAACGACGGCGATTATCTGGTTGATGGCGCTTCGCTCTGTGAGTCGCAAAGTCCCGACCATATCAGTGGTCGCTAGGGGGAGATTTCACTACGATACAGAGTGGTTGCCACCAGCGGTCCCAGGACACTACCAGTTCAGCCAGGTTGTCCTTTACGACGACGACCTTTCCTTCCCAGATGCAACGCAGGCCGAGACGAACCGAGACGAGTTCAGTCGCGTTTTCCTTTACGACCACCTCGTCAGATGCAGCGCAGGCATTACCTCTCCATTACAGTGCTAGCGGAGGGAAACCCCCGGTCCATCTCCTTCCCCAACCTCCAGGATGCTGCCAACTTAGCTTTCCGAGAATTCCGAAACGCCAGCAAGATCGACATGCCCTCTCTCTCCAACGTGGCTAGGTACATAGGCTTCTACACCGACAACTTTCAAACGCTCACTACGCTGAACCTGACCCAGACCAGACCGGCGGCACTTTGGCCTTCGCTGACAGCCCCAGCTTAGCCAGCTTCTCCTCCCCCTCGCTGACGATGCTGGGCAAGTAACTTGAACCTGAAGGCCATTGATGATCTTATGACGAGACGAACCTGGTATTACATTGGGAGGCTCAAGCACCCATCGACGGTCTCTCCGCCTGAGCACGGCGACCACCACCAAGAAGACCGCACTGCAGATCAGCCCAAGGCGAACACCGCCACGAGAGCACACACGACCAAGACCAAGCAAGGCTTTCACTGTCACCGATGCCCCCACTGGCATGAAGTAGACCAAGGCCGAGACCGAGACCGAGACCAAGTGAAGGCACACGCAGTTGATGAAGTCACAGGAGCTAGGCGAGTCACGGCAGGCACTGAACAATTCTCCGATCTAGGTCGAGGCGAGGCGACTGAGATCTCGACTGCCAGCAACCGACATTCTGAGCGAGAAGCCGTCCTTCCCTCACCTCTGGTGGAGCTGCAGAACGCCATGAGCAAGCTAAAGACCACTACAGGCAGAAAGAAGGCCGCTACTGCCACACCTCAGCCCAAGGCAACACCGCCACGGAAGCACCCAAGGCCAAGACCAAGACTGAGGCACCGGTATGTTTCCAGTCGGAGTGATGGCTCCTTACAAGGACCGTATTGCTAACGATTGAGCCAGGCTCTCGCCGTCACGATGCTCCTCCTACTGTCCTAAAGGAGACAAGCCCCGGAAATAATCCTGGCAGTCAACGGAGACGAAGCGATGGACGCCGTCAAGAACGTGGAAGTGCTGGGAATTATTCAGGCTCAAGCCCCATAAGACAATCACGAATACGAAGAGGCCTTTCATCCTACCATCATCACTGAAAACGGCAGCCCCAGAGTCCCCTGGGCAAGCAAACTCTCCGTACTTATGCTCTGGAACGATACATACCGCCGAAGCTCTGCTGAGTTCTGCTTGGAGCCGGGCTCCGCCGACCAAACCCCCTTCATCGTCGAGTACTTGGCAGTTGCGGCGACCCAACAGACATCATCAACACCACCACTTCATGGCATACCCCGGTGTGAGCAACAGCCCCTATGCTGGCGCCAGCGGAGTCCCAGTAGTCAAGAAACGCCGTGACGGCATCCACTCTGACGTCCTTATGGTCGTCTTTGGGCTTCACAAGCTCATCATCAGTCGTCTCGCTGAAAGGCTCTACAAACGCGGTATCATTAAGGTTGCTACGCTGTCATGATGGGGACTCTCATTGTGTTGCTCGTCTTGTTCGTGTTTGATCAGTGGGACGACTGCGGTATCATCAAGGTCGCTACGCTGTCGTGATGGGGAATCTCATTGTGTTGCTCGTCTTGTTCGTGTTTGATCAGTGCGACGACTGGAACAACCGCTTGAATCTCCGGTAACGAGTCGTTATTTGAGTCGTTGGTGAGATCAACAACGGGATGCCGTTATCAATAACTGCCTTGTGGCATCCCGGTGCCAGTAACAGCCCTTGTGCTGGCGCTACGGAAGGAGTCCTGGTAGTCAAAGCCAGGACGCCATTCCTATTCCCTTTGGCCACAACACGGATTCGTTTGCCTTCAATACATTCAGGAGAAAGAAGTTGGTTTATACAGGGAGTGCTTTGAGAGCAGTAGCGCTCAGCAGCCCTTATGCTAGCGTCTTCGGAATCCCAACAGTTAAGGAAGACGAAGCCATACACGCCGCCATGAATAGTCATATCATGTGGCAGGCACATCTCGGTGTCAGCAACAGGCTGTTTGCGGGGCTGGCGCTATTGGAATCCTAGCAGTCAACGAAGACGACGCGACGCACGCCGTTATCAAGAGCTATTTTATGGCACGCCGATCGCATCTACAATTCAGTGCGCAAGGAAAGGGGGAAAGACGACAACTCGAGCGGTGCCGCGAAGGCGAAGCGATGTACGCTGTCCTCAAGAACCACATCATCGACACACCTGGGTATGAGCAATAGCACCCGTGCTGGCGTCATCGGAATCCTAGCAGTCAAGAAAAGCCGTGACGTAACGCTGTCCTCAAGAACCATATCATGGCACATCCTGGTGTGAATAACTGCCCTGCCGCAACGAAGACGAAGCCATAGTCGCCATCATCAAGACCGACTTCAATATGCGCCGCAGTGAGCAATAGCTCTTCTGCAACGAAGACGAAGCTATGCACGCCGTCAAGAATGTGGAAGTGCTGGGAATCATTCGCGCTTGAACCCCAGAAGGCAGACACTCGAAGACATCAATCCCGACCCCCTTCGTCGTCGTGTAGTCGCGGCGACTCTACGGGCATCATCAATGACACTTCATGGGATAATACCGATCCTGCGATCGTCTAGTTGGGCACTCGGCAGCCCAGAGGGCACTCAGCAGCGCACTCGCAGGACTTGACTTTGCTTTTTTTCCTGACGCAGAACCACCCAGTGGCTGATTGACTGTGCTGTGTTTTGTTTTGGGTTTTTATCCTGTGCAATATGTTCGCTCGCTCACCTTTGCGAGTCATCAATGGATGGATGGATGGATGGATGGATAGATAAGAATGTAGTTCAAGCGAGATCGTGCACCCCGGTACTTGCCCGCCGCATGCCTTGCAGCCAACTTGATTGCATACTCGTCGGAGTTCCGTGGGCAGTGGCCACTCCACTTGAATTTCGTCAGGGAACAACTCGGGCCCGTTTGTACCCACACATTTGCACTCACCTACTCGCTGACTAACTACGCTACAACTGTGACACTGGTGAGCGGGTGGGTGGGCGAGTGAAGTCGAAGAGTGCGCTACAGAGTGAGTGCTGGGTGCCAGGAAACGGTTTAGGTGCTGGGAATGCCTGTCGAGTGCCCTGCGAGCGTCGGCTGAGACTCACTGAGTGCCCTCTAACCCACTTTTCGTGTTCCTCGAGTGTGTTGGATGGACAAACCTTTTGGCTTCTCGTCCAAAAACCACTTTGTTTCCACGGTTGATCCAAAACACCGCTTTTACCTGCTCCTCGAGTAGGTTTGCAAGTGAGTGAGACTGGAGAGCAAGTTCCCCAGAGAACGAGAGCAGGTTTGTAGTTTGCAAGTGAGGAAGATTAGAGAGCAAGCTTACAAGACAGAGAGTAGGTTTGTAGGTTTACAAGCTATCTCCGTCACAGTTCTAATATTGCTGAACACCTCCTACCTGCGCCTTCGCTTGGACGAGATCCTTAGTCTTGGATACTCTCTTATGGCAGTTGGAATAACCAACAGATGGAATCCGAGAGGCCGACCGCAAGCTAATGCTATACTGAATTTCCGATATCGACGTAGCGAGAGACTCGTAGCCTTACTCCTTGAATATTGCCGCCACAGAAGGAAGCGGGGCTCGAACCTGGCCTTGGTACGAACGAAAGGGAACAGCTGGTCGTCCACCGCGCAGGGAACAGATAAGTCGTCTGTTTGACACGCCATTCACACCAAAAAATCGGAAGAGATCAAGCTTCAGTTGCCATAGCATCCGCTTGAAGCACAGATCGCACCACGGTTGCAGAATCACAGTGGTAGATGCTTGCCTTGAAGTGATAGTGGTTCGGGATAGCGAATGTCAATGTTGCAAGTACTTACTTCCTCCTTGAGTAGCTTTGAACGTTGCGATAGCCCAGGCAAGTTTGAACGGTCAGTGCATGCTCTTTGCCTTCCGCAGCTTGGGCAGGCGGTGGCTACCATGGTCGGCTGGCTTTGGCTTGCGCTTAGAAATTGCTTGATCTCTTCCAGTATTTCCTTTGCCTGCGCTAGGCTCTCTTCCATCTTCTGGAAGGTTTCTGTCCAGGGATCCATTTTTTCTAAGAGGTCGAGCATAGCTAAGTGGTGACTTTTCTTGATCTTCTGCGTCGGTTCACTTTGTAAATGCGTGATGAGAAAACTTGCTGGGCGGCTTGCCTACCTTTATATCTAAGCCCACGGTGGCTGTACTGGAACTAGCATCATCGGTTTAATTCTGCTGATGCGTCTTCGGCTGCCGCTAGCGATAGTGAGCAGATGCTAGACTTGTCTCTGTTGAGCTTGCGGAGACACCAGACACTAGAAGCGCAATCTCACGTCTTTTCTTTTTCGAACTTGCCGTGGGCCGCACGAACATTGCCAACCGTATGCGGCCAACGTTCGACTGCCGTCCAAAGAGGAATGGTGAGCGCCACCGACCACGATCAACTCTGCGAAGTTGGGAAAGGGGACTATTACAGCGAAGGGAAGTTGCTGGATTTGCAAACGCTGGAATAGAGTATGCGCTCACACCTGCCGCCTCTATCCCGTTCGCTGGGGACTCGGTTTTCCGACTTCGAAATGGGAGCATGAAACTAACCCCAATTGGGCTGTACTCTCAGCCAACGTAAAGGGCCAGGATCAGTTCATTAGCACCTGTCTTTGCTAACAGACTTGCAGTATCTGGTCTAAGGGACAACAAGTAGGGCGGACAGTTGGGGGTCGACTCGAAAGCTAAAGTTGTATTGAGTTGCCGATATCTATGTAGCAAGAGGCATTGTAACATCGACAAAGTGATGATACGATCCTCAGTCGCCTCCGACCATACTGCTCTCCAATTGATCTTTCGCTGTGCTTCGGATCTTGTGGCGTAGCCGGTGCGTTAAGTAGACACGCCTGGTACCATCAAATCCTTCCGATCCGACTCGATTGCCTTGTCCACCATCTGAATCACTCTTTCGTTACCGGAGCGTGTCGCTGCTTGCAGCGCTGTACCAAACAGTCCTCTGGGTGCCTTGGCGTCCGCACCGTAGTCGAGCAGCAGCTTGACCACCTTTGTATGGCCATGGTAGGCCGCGGCCTGCAGTGCGTCGCCGCAGCCTGCCCGAGCGTTGATGTCTGCACCGCGATCCAGGAGCAGCCGCACTATCCCTTCCTGGCCAGACATTGATGCCGCTTGCAGAGCATTGCCAAAGTCTCCTCCTTGCGCATTCACGTCGGCACCCTTTTCCAGAAGCAGCTGGGCGAGTTCATACTTGCCGCGAGTCGATGCTATTTATAAAACCTTTACAAACTGGTCCTTTTGGGCGTTGACGTGTGTATCACGCTCAAGGAGCAGTCGGACTACCTTATCTCGGTCTTCCTTCGTCGCCCCTTCTAGCGCGGTGTACCAAAATCCTTCATTGGTGGTCACATCGGCACCCCCGCCAAGGAGTAGCCGGACTATCTTCTCATATCCCAGGAGAGCTGCCACCTTCAAAGCAGTGCCGTAATTTCCGCCCGGAACATTCACGTCGGCACCATGTTCAAGAAGCAGTTGGACCACGTTGCTCTCGCCGTTCAGCAACGCGGCCACCAGAGCATTACCATGTTCAACGCCTTGAGAGCCGTTAATCAAAGGGCGTGTCCAAGGAAATTGACTTGTAAAGAGTCTGAGAAGGGGTTCCGGTTATTCGGAGTCAAAGCTTGTGTGAGACTGGACTAGACATCTCATTGTACGCACTCCTCCGCCTTGGATCTCTCCTGCCCGCATTTGGTCCGGGTGGATGATAAGGTGTGTCAACCGTCCCTGAGGCTGAGTGGGTCTTGAGCTCCTTCCAAAGGAGCTGACACTGTGATGTTTGCGGAGGTAGAGGCTGAAGCGACTGTCTGGGAGGGTTCTCGAGGTAGCGAAGATGGCGCTACCGGCGTGATAATAATGTCGGTTGAGGTGCTGAGGTGGAATAGTTGCAGCTGTGGATGCGGATGTGATTGGGATTGTAGCCAGGTCAGCCCTGGATACGCTTGGGGAGTCACCGGCACCAGCGATGTGAAAACACCTTGGAAACATTGTGCCTGGAGCACCACGTTTGATTTAGCGCGTAGTTCCAGAGTTGCGGGCGTGGATGCGGATGTGCATTTGGAGCATCTATCACGTGCATGTGCCGAGACTAGGTAATCCAGAGGGAGAATAGGAATCATTCGCCCATGTCGGCGGCGAAGTCGGTGGGGCCGCCCTCGTCCACAATGGCTATAGACCTGTGGCCACAACGCGCCCTCGCAAATACGCTTAGGGAGTCACTAGCGGCAGCTTGATGTGAAAACTCCTTGGAAGTATTATGCTTGGATGGAGCACTAGGTAATCCGGAGGGAGACTGCCTATGTCGGCAGCGAAGTCGGTGGCACCAGCGCCCACTTGATTTGGAGGCACGCTGGAGTGATAGAGGTTTGGTGGATACGTCAAGAACGTTGGAATAGTTGTAGGTATGGAGTAACCAGGCTAAATACGCTGGGGGAGTACCTGCGGCGTGATGTGAAACCTCCTTGAGAAGCATTGTGCCTGGAGCACTAGGTCTGATTTCTCGCGTAGTTCCGGTGTTGCAGGCGTGTCCTGATGGCCAAGGATAGTTGCATGGTTGCGTGGCCAGACCACGCTGTCTGTCGAAACACGCCGTATCCAGCGCTGATTGTGGTGCGAAGAACTTCATGTCCAGCCGGAATTGGGAAGGCGACCGGCGTAGGGGAGAACTCGCCCGTCTATTGGGAAAGAGGCATTCTCTGCTGAGCTGGAAGTATCTGGCTTACAACCGCCATGACAAGAAAGCAGAAACTGCATTCCCACCCACTATACAACAACGTCTTAGCTCACGATTCATTTTATGTGAATGTCGGCGAAACAAAGCATAAGAGAAAGGTGAGATATGAGGTTGGAATAGTTGCAGGTGTGGATGCGGATGTGGTTGGGCTCGGCGACAGTCAGAAGGTTCTTCGTCTTGCGTACCTTGGGTTTGACAACCACCCTGTCGAAGATGCGGTGGCATCGACTGGCAAAAGAGTGGCGAGCCCTCATGACAAGGCTTTGGAAGGAACCGTCTATAACTGGCAAAAGAGTGGGGAGTCCTTGGGTCGACATTGGACAACATTACTCCAGCTCTCAGCTTGCGACCTTGTAAACGCCCGATTTGCCAACTTCCGATACGTCTTCCTTCATCATGGACGCCGGAAACCCTTTCAGCTCCTCGTTACTAAAGGGGAACTCCTCCGGGACCACAATGGACAATGTTTTGGAAGGAACCGCCCATGGACTGGACAAGAGCGAGCCCTTGGGTCGACAAGGCTTTGGAAGGAACCATCCACCGTCATGCTCTGTGCTGGGGGGTCACCGGCCGCGTAGTCTGAGGTTAGAATAGTTGTAAGTGTAGACGTGGATGTGATTGGCATTGTAGCCAGGCAGGATACGCTTAGGGAGTCACCAGCGGTGTGATATAAAGCCTTCACAAATAGAAGTATTGTTCCTGGAGCACCGGGTAGTCTGGAGGGAGAATGCCCGTGTCGGCGGCGAAGTCGGTGGTACCAGCGCCGATTGCAGCGGAAAGAACTCCAGAGCCAGCCAGCTGAAAACGGAGTCTTCTGCAGACCCAAGGCCCACGGTGGATTGCAGGCAATCACCCATCAGACGATAGAAGGGCGAGAAGGCCCTAGGCCAGACGCTTCTATCTAGTAAAAGAATTAATCAGTTGAGTCTGTAGTGAGGTTATTAAGATAAATTTTCAGCTTTAGCTTCAGGTGGCACGTGCTTTCGTGTTTTGGACGTGAAACGAGCCCGCGACCGCGTTTTGTGACAGTTGCTTGATTCCTGGGAGAGGAGTGGGAAGCCAGTCTCGAAGGAGAAGGTAGATTGCAGCATCACTCACCACTTGTAATGCAATATTAAAAGACGATGGAAGGGCAAGAAGCCGCCGGGCCAGAAACTTTTTTTGTAGTAAAAGAATTGATGTTTGGGTTGCGATAACTGATGAGGGGCAATGTTTGTGGCGACGAGGATGAGGGATCTTTTGCGAAATGAGGGGTCGAGAGGCGCAGGCGCTTACACTTCGACAACGACCTCCAGGAACTGGGACTTTACCATCCCATGCCAACAGGGAATTCTTCGTCGCACTTTTGAATCTCGTGGAACACACCCGCCACTTTGGCTGTATGCTCACTGCGGAGTTAATTACGCCTACTCAGAGGCACCGCGCCCTCCACCGCCCCCTAGAATCACATGGCAGGTTGGTGCTGCTACAATCTAGCTTCTCCACTGAAGCTGAAGCTGAATCTATCCCAACCTCGTGTTCTCGCTGCCTACCCAACAACCTCCATGTTCTCTACGGTTTCAACTACGGACTCAACAGACTAATTATTTTACTACCAAAAGGTTTCTTACGACGTACTCGGGGCTACCTTCTCGCCCTGCTACCTTTTTTCAATATTGCATTGCAGGTGGGTGCTGCTGCCAGCTAACTTCTCCTTCGCTGGAGCTTAAGCTGAATTTAGCCCCAGCCCCGGTGTTCCCACTACGGACAGTGCTTTCCGTGGCACTCGCAATCCTTCGAGATCACAACACAAACTAGATCACGACTAAGAGAACTTCCCTCCCGCGCCGCTAGAAGATCAGGGTGAAGTCGGTGAACTGCTCAAAAAGTTTGCCGATAAGGTCCCTCTCCTCAAAGAAAGCTATCCCGGTTGGAGCGATGAAGATTTAGTCTATGCCTTGAACGAAACCGACGGCAACGTTAATACTGCTATTAATCGCATTTCAGGTAGTGAGAGAGCTGACACTCATATTCCTATGCCTAAAATCGCTAATTATTCTACTTTAGGCACCATCTCACAATACCTCCCGCATCAACCGACGCTTCTACTTGGGGTCGTGGCCGTGGTAATTTTGAAGGTCGAGGAAGAGGTCGCGGTGCTAAACGTTGTGCTAGAGGTGGCCGGGGTGCAAAATCAGTCACCACCGTATATACAAATAGCACAAAACCCGCACAGACGACTGAGGGCTTGGATTCTGCCACTGAACATGGGTTGTTTCCAATTTAGACTATTGAACTCGGATTGTGTGTAACTTTCCCCAAAGACAAAAATTGGCAAAGAAACCTGAGGAGTAAGAAATGCGGTTTTTTGATTGAAAGTTGAACAAAGCGTAGTCACTCTAGCGTAGTCAGTCAGCTAGGGGCGGTAGCGCAGGCAGTGCACCGCAGTCAGCGCAGTCTGTCCAGCGCAGTCGCTGAAACTTTACTTTGCTTGCGACGTAGACCCGCTCACTCACCCACTGTGCTGTGTTTTGTTTTGTTTTGTTTTGTCTTATCCTGTTTGCAATGCAGAGGTTAGGATACATTCTGCTTCAGCTTTAGTGGAGAAGCCAGATTGCAGCAGCAGCACCCACCACCTACAATACAACATTGAGAGGATTAAAGTCGAATGTTTCAACATTTCCATCCACCAAACCTATCTCAATGCTTACTGAGAGGCAGCCCTGTCGCCGGCTGCTGTATTTGTTGATAATCACATCAACAACCTTCAGTAACTGAGTTCTATGACGCCGCCATCCCATGCCAACAGGGAATTCTTCGTCGCGCTTGGGATAAATTCAGCTTCAGCGAAGCCGAAGGAGAATGATTGCTACAGCACCTACCACCTCTCGACCGGCAATCTTCGCATACGCTGAAACCTTCTGAGGGCTGTTTCTTTGGGCTCTACCGTTGGAGTACTTAGTTCTGACGACAATGGGTTCTTTGGAGACTTGGAGGTAGGAGACAGAGACCGAATCGGCGGGATCGCTTTGGGACAGTTCTTCCGTGTGCAGTGCAACGACAGACAGAATGCGACCAGACGATATGACACCGCCAGCTCCAAAGCGACAGTATGGTTTGGCCAGTGGTATCTTCGGGATACCATATCATTCACAAGGCGGCCCTCCTCCCACCCAAGTTCCAACAGAAGAGCCAACACAACCTCTCACCAGCTCAGCACCCAGACTGGGGAGTCGGCAGTTGGCGGATTCGCAAGCGACGTTGATTGTAGAGTTGGCATCAAGTCCAGATTATCTCATTACCCAGAGAGCCCATGATGTCCTCAACAAGCAGCAGTGCGAGAAAATCTTATGGCTAGCGCTGCCGCCGGCTCCGTTGTTTGTTGATCATCAGGTCGCTGACGTGGCGTCGAACGCCCATCCCACACCACCGTGGACAGGCGTATCTGGCATCTTCGATGTCAAGGTAGATAGATTCAAGCAGTGACAACGTAACTAGTTGGCCTCCTTCTGGAGGTGTTGAGCCAGGAGCACTCTATAACACCAGTGTCTCTCCGGCCCTCTCTTCGGCGCCATCTTGGTGACTGCTCATCTGCGTGGCCCCCTTCTGGAGTTGTTGAGCTGGCTGGCCTCCTTCTGAAACTGTCGAGCCAGGAGTATTCTACAACTCCAGTGTCGCTCTCTTCGGCGCCCCAAAAGTGAATTCTTCGTCACACTTCTGAATCTCGTGGAACACACCCGCCACTTGAGTTGTATTCTCACCACGGACTCAACGGATTAATTCTTTTACTACACAAAAGTCTCCAAAGGCTGCTCGAAGCGGCTCTAGATTGGGCTCGAAGGCAGCCCCCCCACAGCCGTTTAGTTCCACCCACTACACATCTTCACAACCTTGACTATTCGTTTCAAGACCTTAAAAGCATCGAGTCAGCTTTAGTCCAGATCTTGATTCTTGAAAGACTATTTATTCCCTTTGGCCTACGAACACGTATTTCCGAATGATGACTCTACTCAGTAAAGCTCGTCCCGACACAGAACCGTATGCCTATTGAACTGGGGCGAGGCTTCTAGCCATAGGCGCCAACTCGTACGGCGGTAGGTAACAGGCACGTTCACATCTTGTAAAGCAGTTGATTGATTGTCTTGTTGTCTCTCTATCTGCCCAGGCGAATAACAAAAGAAAAGACTACCAAGCTAAAGCGGTACCCTCGAACTGACCAATCAGAGAGTGGCAACGTCTGTCTGTACAATGTACAGCCAAAAGTTGACCAATCACC